ACGTGTCCCTTCTCCTTGCCAAGGGTGACCTCTGTCCCTGTGTTCGTTACCTTGCCCCTTGGTAGGTGATGTCATCCTGCAGTTTCAGTCTCTCGCTTTCAATTGGGTTCTTCGAGCTTCTCAGGTTAATCTTCACCCTTAAGACACACACACACACACACACACACACACCCTCCCCTCCCCTCAGCTGTGCCACTCTCTCAAGCTACTGCCTGTTTTGTAAATGAGCCTGACAGGCCCTCGCTGCACCCCTGGGCTGACTCCCTCTGGGTGCGGCTGTGCCCGGGCAGTTCCTTGCCCTTTTGGCCACCCCCCTGCCTTCACGCCCTTCTCCATGGCAGCTCCCCTCGCTGCACACCACAGGATCCATCAACCTGCCCTGCCTTTCTGCTGTCGCCACCATTCTGCATCCAAGGTCTTCTCCGCTGCCCTCCGTCCTCTGGTGCTGACCCTCTTGTGGACTTGTGACCTCAGAGGCCCTCCCCTTGCTGATGACTCTGTGCCGTGATCTCCAGCCCTGCCTGGTGCCTGAGCTCTGGCCGCACGTACCAGCTGTATTCCTGCCGTTGGGGTTGGCCAGCTCGCAAATGCAGCACGCCTGAAGCTGGAGTGGACATACGGCCTTCTGGAAGCTCTCTGCATGATGCCTGGCTTAGGTCATGGCCCAGTCACCCCTCCACCAGCCAGGGTGGCATCTCAGAGCCAACCGGCTGCTAGGCCGCACTGCCCTTGTCCCTGTGATGGAGTCACTGGTGCAGAGCCTGCTCCCCCGCCCCAGGGACGGCTGCCGCTGGCCCCCTCTGCGTGCCCTATGTCTCCTTCTCCTGGTTCCCCTCCTTCCCCTTGTTCCCCATGTTCCCACTAGCCTGCACGCTGCTGTTGGGTGACTCTGCTTACGGCGTGGGGTGCTTCTGTCACCCTGTCACCTGCAGAACAAGACTGCCTGTCTTGGCTGGCTCTCCGGGCCCTCGGAGGCCCTGCTGCAGGTTCCCGCTCCAGCCTCGGCTTTGCCTTCCCCCCTCCAGTGCTGTGCTCCGGCTGGGTCAAGTCTCAGCGGGCAAAGTGATGCCTGTGTCCTCAGGACGCCCCTCGCCCTGCCACTTGCCAGCCCCGCTGCCGGGACCACCCTAGTCCAAGCTGGCTGGCTGCTGTGTGGCCTTGTACTTGGTGACTTTTATCTAAAAGCCGCTGCTTTTACCTCCTAGAGCCAGTTTTTCACACAATAGACAGAGACACGTTTTTCAGATAAAGCTCAGGCTGCAGCTCTGGAGATGGCCATTTCCTCCCTTCACAGCTCTGTGGTGGCTTCTCTCTCTTACACTCCGAGCAAAGTCATGCCAGCAAGGCCATGCAGGATCTGGCTCAGTGGGAGACGCCCCTGGCCTGTCTCCTGTGAGAGTGTTTGGAGATGAGTGGGGGCTTCCCTGGGCATTACAGGGGTGGCTCTGCTGGTCCTGGGCCTCCTAGGCGGGCCAGGGTGCTCGTGGGAACAAGACCACACTACCTGCCCCAAACGGCGATAGTGCCCCTGTTGAGAGACACTCGCTCTCGCCTCTGCTCACCTTCCTGCAGCATTTCTTACCTCTCACTCCTCCATTTATTCCGCTCCAGCGGTGCTGGTCTCCTAACTGGCCTTGGAATGCGCTGTGTTCGCCACAGGGCCTTTGCACGTGCTTCCCGTCTTTCTTCTGTTTAATCACTTTGTAGTTGGTTTGGGTCTCTGCTTACGTGTCACCTTCTCATTCATCACTCTTACAGAAATCCCCGTAAATCGCTGTGCCCTTCCTCTGCTTTATCTTTCTTTGTAGTCACCACTACCTGACATTAACTTTTATATTATTTTGTGGATCTGTTTGTGCATCTCCTCCGCTGGAAAATAAGCTCCCTGAGAGGAGCGACTTCCCTGCCTTGTCCACAGTGTATCCCAACGCCTGGAACGCTGCTGGTGCCTGTGAAGTGTTCAGTAACGCTTGTTGAACGCTAGTGGTTTCTAGATACGAGTCACTGCAGGATGTGCAGAAGAATAAGTTCAAGACATTAATTGACCGAATAAGCAGATGCTGTGCACGTGCCAGCCTCATGCTGTGATATCCGCTCTTTCTTCACCTAGTTGAAGTGTATTTTTTTGCATTTCCAGTTCCTACCCACCCTCCTAGGGCCTTTTCAGCTGGACACATCTTCCAATGCCTTCTCTGACCTTGCTAACTCTCAGAACTCCCGTAAAACTTTATCTATACCTCCTATTTTATGTGCTGACTTCCGCTGGGCTGTGTGGTGGTTTATGTTTCTTTTCTGTCTCCCTTGCTGGTCATGGTCAGTGTCCATTTCAACCTACTGTCTCTGTGTGCTGAGCAGAGCACCTTGCCTGCAATGGGTGTCCATTACCTGTCTGTTGAACAGGTTTCCTTTTGTGTCTTTCTGGGGGAAGGGCCCCCCAGGAGGTTCGTGCCTAGAGGGCCCTGGGGGGATGCCATACGGTAGTCTGTGTGTAGGAAGGCTGCTGCTGCTCTGGAAGAGACCGGAGGCAGGACCGCGTGCGCGTCTCCTTTGTGCGGAGGTGCCGCTGGGCCAGCCACCTGAGGCACAGCCCCGCCCCTCCCATAGATCCACAGGGAACAGAGGTGCTGTCCGCACAGGCGTGTACAGCCCTCCGGCTCCATGGACAGCCCCGAGCTTCCCATCTGGGGCTGAACCCTCAGCTGCGCTCCTGCACTGGCCACGTGGTAGAGAGCAGGTGGGACACGGGCAGCAACCGTGTTCCATAAAAGTTAAAGTGTCACAAAGCAGAGAATTGTTAACGTAAGTACTTTTTCACTTTCAGTTGTAAAAAGTATTTTAGAAGGTGAAACATTAACAAGGGAAGCAATAGAAAACTAAAGCTTGTCCTTGGATTACAATTCCACTTTTATTGAAGCTGACTTGTTATTTTGTTATGGTATTTATCTGATGTTAACTTGGAATTAAATTCTGTTATCTTAAAACCCTGAGGAACATGTCAGAAGATACAGAACAACCAATGATTTATAATTTAAAAGCATATAATAATTGCCATGTTGCTGACTTTATATTATGGTAGGTTTTACATTAGGAGGAAAACAAGTCAACCTTAAGATGAGCTAGTGAACTAAACATTTTATCACCACATTGTAGAGATCTACACTTGATAACATTGTAAGGAAAAAATTAAATTTTTTGGATGGGTGAGGGGAGGAAGGCTTACTTTTAGAAGTGAAGTTTATTATTTGTTATATTATGTATAGTTTATTATTATTGACGTCTGTCTGTCAAGCACTCAGGTCATGTTTTAGCTTAGCAGTTTGCTGTGTGTGCTGTGTAAAGACAGGATCCCCCTAAGAAAGGCTGTCAGAATTGCAGGGTGTGTATGTTATGTGAATGATGAGTTTCATGACAAGTTGTACGGAGTTAACAGATGAAATGTGATGTCATCTTGGATTTAACAGCTACATTCTTCTATTATAAGGTGTGGAAGATACCCACTTTAATTATAGTTATAAGGTATGTTACAAGGGGTGTAATGTTTACATGTTAACGTGAAATTTTACCATGTGGAAGGATCTAGCTTAACACATATGTCTGCTGAACCGCCTTCTTCAACATTAATGTTTTCTAGATGTTCCCAGAACAGATTTGTTGATATAGCTGATGATGGCAAATCTTGTAATCCATCACTTTTCTTTGATGGAGGTCAAAACTAGCAACTTGGGCAATACTTAAGTTTTCCATTTTTGTGGAAACTAGGTCTTACAAGTGCTTCCAAATCCATGTCTGCAGGATGAGGACTCTGCCGGTTAATTGTCTTTTACAGTTTATAGGAAAGACCTATTTTTTTGCATTAAGGTGATTCTCAGAGTTCTGTTTATAAACACTGTCAGAAGCAGGGAGTGTTAGGAATCCTCCACTTATAAGAAAAACGACAGAATAAAATCATTGCTCGACTTGCCCAGGATTTGGTGTTCAGCCGCTCGTGTTGTTGCCATTCAGGAGGCATTGCTCACTGGAGGGCACAGAACAATGTCCTGTCAGCACGTTGAGAACAGTGTAAAATTCAGTGAGTACCTCTCATTTCTGATTAACCGCTTGAGACCTTTTGGCATTAAAGTTAAGGTGTGTTTAAACTGTTTTGACCCATGATGTTCAAAGACTGTATTTTTAACTGAACCAGAATAGTTTGTGTGCCAAACTTCTGTCTTTAAGGCAAATTTTACCTGACTGATGTCCAGTCTCATTAATTTTCAATAATAATCAAAACCTCTGCAATGACTTTGTTCTTAAAAATGATAAATACTGGGGAGTAAAGATGTTCCATAAAAGTTAAAGTGTCACAAAGCAGATAATTGCTTTGTGTGAGAGGTGAGACAGAGAATTCCTCCCAAAACCACATATAATACGAAAATATAGTTAATACAACTAATCCTAGAACAGCAACAGGAAAGAAGGCTGCGCCAGGCTGCACACACCTGGAGAACAGAGCAGACCTCAGGGAACAGGAGTGTATATCGATCATAACTTTAAAAAAAAGATAAATATTAACCTGATAAAATGCATGGATGCGTAATTCTTCCTCCAGATTGTGTTTCATGTAATTTCAAGTTCCTCTGTGCACGGCATACCAGTAAATTGTAAGAGGTTGATTACACACAAGCTTTGTGCTGCCTGATGGTGAACAACGTGTGGGTCAGTTATTTGCCTCAGGGACCCAGGGCCGCGAGCAGGGGCGCTGGGTGCCCTGGAGCCCAGACTGCTGGAAGGTGTGCAGGACTGTGGACTGCTGAAATCCCGAAGGCCAGCAATGGCTGCTCTTGGGACAAAGCAAGTGTTCCCCGTCCCAGCACCTGCCCCACACTCAATCTATGCACTCTGAAAGTACTAGAAAAAGTAAAATTTATCTTCTGGAAAAAAGGGTCAAACAAAAGTTCCTTTGGTTCATTTGACTGGGAAAGCTAAGGTAAATATTTAATCATAGAACTTGTGAAACGATATGTATTTCAAATGAAATTTATTCTTCATCAGTCTGTGAAGAGTCAGCCAGCTGTCCAGTTATAGTTATAAGAAGCTGATAGGAAAGAAAATTATGTCAATTTGAATTTCATTATTAAAGCAGTCAGAATTGCACTGTTTATAATACAGAACTATTTCCTACATTAGTTACTTTTGTCTTAGTTGTAGACTGGAAATGTAATGTGAAGCATGCTCCCAGGCAGATGATTCACTTTGATTTGAAGTAATGTTCGTATTTCTTTGAAGCATAAACCAAAAGTTCTTCTTTTCTTTTTTCTCTCTTTCCTCCCTGTCTTTCCTGTAGAGTTCTTCAGACAGCTGAAGAAAAGATCTGAGAGTAAAAAGGATGACATTTTAAGTGAATAAAATGATTTTACACAGGGTGACAAGTAAAGAGCTGTTTCTGATGGTTGCTTGATATGGGAAAATAGTTGAGAGGCATAAATGAAGACATAGCCTCACCTTTAAAATCTATAAGCTCTTGGTTTCAACAGCACAACTGCACGGACAGGAAGGGGTCTGGAGTTCGGGCTCTCTGAGTGACCCGGGCAGCCGCCTGCCGGCCCTCTGTCTGCAAACAGCCCCAAAGGAACAAAAAGACAGTAGACAGAGACGGACAGGTGCAGCCTGCCCCTGCCGCACATCCGTCAGAGGTTTGCTAAGGGATTTCAGAGGAGAGCACATTAGCTTTTTCTCAATCTTTCATAGCATTGAAATAGTTTCTTTTAGGAAGAAGAACTTGCAAATAATGCAGGTACTCTTTTATTTGACCTTAGGTAGGTAATAAGGTATTCTTATGGATGGGCACTTATCTCACGAGTTTATTGTGTGAAATAACGGAGTAAGTTCTCTTAAATCTTCCCTTAAATACATCCAGCACTGCCCACATTGACCGAACAGAGACCACAGCCTGGATCAGTGCTTTCCTGAGGGTCTAGGATCAGCGCCCGGAGCACCCCTGTCGCCCGCGCCGATACCCCGTCCGGTGTTGGTCTGTTTCTCTTTCTGCCTCTTGTAGGGGTCAGGCCACCCGCTGTCGCCTCTTTCTCATCATCAGCCTTGTATCTACCAGCTACTCCTCCTGATTTTACTTGGTGAGTTGAGGAATCAGATATCTAGGGTCACTGTGAGTTCTCTGTTATGTATGAAAGGGTTTTTAAGGAGTTTTGAGTACGGAGGGTTTGTGGTCAGTTGTATACACGTGGAGGAACTGAGCTTCTAGGCTCAGGGCTGTGTTTTAGAGGGTGGATCTGTCAAAAGTCTGACTTCTAAATACTATAAATTCTGCGTTTTAAAGGTATCTTGAAAGATTAACACCTAATTACATTGAGCAAAAAAATCTTCTAGATTAAATTTGCTCAACATTTGTTATTCTTAAAATGATTAATTCCCGTGATTGATTAATTCATGTTGAGGGTTTGTGGTCAGTTGTATACACGTGGAGGAACTGAGCTTCTAGGCTCAGGGCTGTGTTTTAGAGGGTGGATCTGTCAAAAGTCTGACTTCTAAATACTATAAATTCTGCGTTTTAAAGGTATCTTGAAAGATTAACACCTAATTACATTGAGCAAAAAATCTTCTAGATTAAATTTGCTCAACATTTGTTATTCTTAAAATGATTAATTCCCGTGATTGATTAATTCATGTATTAGGCACTACACTACCTGCTTTGCATACCTTCAAGTGTATTTCAGTATTAGCTTCAACAAGTTTTAATTGGGCAGTTAATGCTCTAATTGCTCTAATTCTTAAATTAACAATAATAAGTGACTTAGACTTTATGTGCATTTTAGATCATGGGTGGTATGATTCCCTTTTGGGGACTGCCCTGCAGCCTTCCCTCTGGGTTGACTGGCCGAGTCCCCACCCCCAGGCACCCGGTCCCAGCTCCAGGGAAACGACAGTTTCAGTTCAGGCCAGTGATTTTTATGGGGGGAGGGGAAAACATTTCATTTAGATATTTAAAATAATAAAATATTTGCCCCCTTCCAGATGTTTGTGTGTATATGTACAGGTGTGTGTGTGTGCGTGCATGCATGCATTATGTGTTTATGTGTATGTACACACACATTTAAAATAAAGATGGCTGTATCATACCTGATTCTGACGCAGCCCCTCCGTGCTATGCGCTTCTCTATAGGGAGAAAAGCATTCTCATTTGAATTAACTTTTGGCTTGAAGTTCCATCCATAGGCTATTCTTTGCTCTGTGGTGATTTGGAGGATCATAGGAAGATTCTTAGGGAATTGCAGAGACCCAGTATTTTTGTTCAGTGATGCTAAATAACAATTTTCCCCTCATTTTTGAAAAATTTCTTTTTATTGCAGTAAAACGTATATAACACAGAATTTACCATCTTAAAGCGTACAGTTCTGTGGCATTTAGTACATTCACACTGCTGTGTGCCCATCTACTTCTCCCCCAGCTGGAACGCTCTGCCCTGAGCCGTGCCTCCCCGTCATCATCCCCCAGTGCAGCCCGCGTTTCGGTCCCGCCGTCAGGTCACACCTGCTGCCCCTCCGCCCGAGGCCTGTGGCATCACCCTTTGTCCGGAGCTCCTGTTCAGTGAGCCGCCCTGTGCGCCTTCCAGGCTTGAGCTCTGCCTGTCTGCCTGCGGCATTTCTCCTTCCACCTGCCTCTGAGCTCCAGACTCGTGTCCGGGGCCCCTTGGCCGACCTCCTCTGATCTGATGCCTGACTTCCTGCGTCTCTGACCCGCTGCCTGGTGACAGACGTTCCCGAGGGCGACGGCTTCCATTTCTCGTTGCCCAGCTGTCGGCTTCGGGGTCCGCCTGCCGGCTTCTGGACTCCTTCCCACCGCCGCCTGTACTGGCCTCGGTTCCTGCCCGGCCAGCCCAGCTCGCGATGCTGAACCAAAGCCTTGCCTAACTTTGTAAGAACTGATTTCTGGCGGATTTCAAGTTCTAGGCTCGCTTCTTTCATGGAAGGCCGTTGTAAGTCTGTTATACAAAGTGCTCACTGGTCTTTTGCTCCATTATGATATGTAACACTGAAAAATGAAATACCAAATGTATTTCACTTATGAAAAATGGAGATAGTAGGAAAAATACAGAAGGCTGTTAACTTGCTTTTAGAAGTAGTTTATGAGTCAGCAATTAATGGATAACAGAATGGATTTAAGAGTAACTCTCATTAGTAAATTTGACATGTTTAAGAAATCTGTATTAATCCAGGCTATGAAGCTAGGTTCCTGTGTTGTCATATTGCTTTTTTTTTGCTGTGTGACAAACCTCCACTAAATCTGATGTCTTAACACAACAAATAATTTTTCTCCCGTTTCCCAGGTTGGATGGGGTCGGTACTTAGGCTGCGTCCGGCTGGCAGTCTAGCCGGGACTGGAACGTCCAGGGGGCTTCACCCTCATGTGTGGCACCTCAGTAGAGGCTGCTGGGCCTGTGTCCCTTGACACGGTCTCTCCAGCTAGTCTGGCTTCTTTACGTGGTGGCAGTATCCCAAGATGGTTTTTATTCTAGCATTTTTAAAGATTTCGTAACTAATTTGATTTAATGAGCTTGCTGTGAACTCTTTAAAAAAAAAGTTAAATACACCCAAGTAATTGTTTGTTATATATAGTTTATGTGTGTGTGAATCCAGTAGACTAGATGCTTGAATAACTAGGCAGTTATACTACTTTACACATGTAGATATAATTTTCACATGAATTGCCCTTATGAGCTGTTCCCCATATATTAGAGAGTGACGTGAGTCAAAACATTTCTCGTTTCTGAACAGAGATTTTTATGCTCCATGGTAGTCAGTACATAGATCTTATTTACACTCATAATGACAACAAAATAAGTAAAAGGGCAGTTACAGAAAATTTTACCTAGGAAACAAAATATTTCAAAAACAGAAAGCAATTATAAGTAGCTAGGTGTCTTTAATTCAGGAATCATGATGAATGTAAATAATTAAAAAAATACTTAAACCTCTTCATTGTAAACATTACAATTTCCAGTTTTCCTGAACCTTTTTACAGAATATGGACTTTTAAAGATTAATTATAATTATTGTTTACTTGCCTTGGGAATAATGGTTTAGGCATATAGCTAATATATACCACATATGCCATTATTACTAGACTATTAGAAAAGAAATGAGTATCCCACATATTGATAGATAATAAGTCTGAATTTGGTGTTTCTAAGAGAAATAAAATAGAACTTTCATTGTAAATAAAAATGATATAAGTGAATAGGCAGTCTGAATAGGGCTATATCTATTAAAGAAATTGAAGCAATAATTAATAACCTTCAAAATAGAAAGCAACAGATGGGGTTCACTGGTAAACTGCACCAAAAATTTGGTATAAAGAAATTATATCAACTCTCTACAGTCTCTTTAAGAAGACAGAAACAGACATAATACTTACTAATTCATTCTATAAGGCCAGTATTACCCTAATACCAAAGTAAAACAAAGACATTACAAGAAAAGAAAGTCACAGACCAATATCTCTCATGAATAAAGATGCAAAAATCCTGAACAAAATAGTAGCAAATTGAATTCAACAAAGTATAAAAGAACTACATACCATGACCAAGTGGGATTCATCCTGGGTATGCAGCCTGTCCTGTTCAACATTCAAAAATGAATTAATGGAATCACATTGACAGGCTTAAGGAGAAAAAAAAATCTCATGATTGTCAATGCAGAAAAAAATTTGACAAAATCCAAAACCCATTCATGATAAAACTCTCATTAAACTATGAATAGAGGGGAACTTCCCTTCCTCAACTTGATAAACAACATCTACAGAAACTGTACAACTAACATCAAACTTAATGGCGAGAAACTCAAAGCTTTTCCACTAAGATCAGGCACAAGGCAAGGATTTACCATCTCACCACTCCTTTTCAGCATTGTACTAGCAGTTCTAGCCAATGCAATAAGACAAGAAAAGGAAATGAAGTGATATTGGGAAGGAAGAAATAAAAGTGTCTTTGTTCACAGATTGACATAGTTGTCCATGTAGAAAATCCCAAAGAATTAACCTAAAAAAACTAGAACAAATAAGCAATTATGACAAGGTTGTGGGATATAAGGTTAATATACAAAAGTCAATTGCTTTCAGTATGAACAAGTGGAATTCAAAATTAAAAACACAATACTTTTTATATTACCACCTCCAAAAATGAAATACTTATGTATAAATCTAGCCAAATAAATACACAGCCTATATGAAGAAAACCACACAACTAATGAAGAAGTCAAAGAACTTAATAAATGGAAGCTAGTCCATGTTCATGGATAGGAAAACTAAATGTTGTCAAGATAATCAGTTCTTTCTATTTGATCTCTAAATTCAGTGCAGTCCTACTCAAAATCCCAGCAAGTTACTTTGTATCAACAAACTGATTCCAAAGCTTAAATGAGAAACAAAAGACCCAGAGTAGCCAACACAGTATAAGGAGAACAAAGTTGGAGATATAATGCCACCTGACTGTAAAACTTAAAATAAAGCTAACAGTAGTCAAGAAAGCATTGGGTCAGCAAAAGAATTGACAAAGATCATTGGAACAGAATAGAAGACTCAGAAATAGATCCATATAAATATAATCTACTGATCTTTGACAGAGGAACAAAGACAATACAATGGAGAAGAGATAGTCTTTTCAACAAATGGTGTTGAAACAACTGGACATTAACATGCAGTAAAATGAACCTAGACACAGATCTTATGCCCTTCAAAAAAGTTAACTCAAAATGGATCATAATGTAAATATAAAATTCAAAAGTATAAAACTCCTAGAAGATAACATAAGAGAGAGAGGTAACTTGGAATATGATAAATGACTTAGCAACACCACCAAAGGAGGGACCCATGAAGGAAAACTGATAGG